GTCATGAGTTCAAGCCCACTTGGCTGTGTAAAAAGCTACTTTTCCACTTAAAAAAAAAAAAAAAAAAAAAAAAAAAAAAAAAAAAAAGCCAAAGGAGTAAAACGACAGGTGATTTCTTTTCTGAAAGCAACCCAAATAAACCAAATTATTAGCAACTCCAGATAATGATGCTCATTAATGACCCACACGGTAAGGGGCAGAATTTCGAGAATGTAATAATGAAGCATGAATTGTAAATCTCATTGTTTTCTTATACTGATTCCCACTCGAACTGTACATTTTTATTGTTTTTTTAAATAAATTTTACAAATTCTTTAGTTCAGTTAAACCAGTAAAGAGATAGGCAAGGTTCAGGACCCAGACCAGACCTGAAATGAGTCAACAGGGTCACAACCAGCCCTTCCCTTTTTCATTAAAATCAATGATACCGTTGTTTTTAGATTTAAAACAGAGTAAGGCAACTACTAGCATAAAAGATAGGTTTTCATTATTTTTTTTACATCAAAAGTAACTACATTGATTTTGGCTGCCAATTTAGAAGCCTTAGCAAGCAAAAATAAAAAAAGACTTTTTAGAGAACTACCCATTTGTCCTCCATTGATGACCACATCAGGATCACGACATTATCTCAAGAGACTTGACATTTTTTTTTTCTCCCTCTTTCTCCAAGGGTAAAGCCAGAACAACCACTGTCTCAAGAAAACAAATCAGCTATTATGATAACACAATTCCAACAGTTTTGAAGGCTTACAGTCTAAAGAGTTATCTAGTTGATCCAAAAAACCAGGGATTGTCGGACAGATTATGCATGAAAAGCTTTTCTGAAAGCCTACCTCAGCTGCTTATTTGTGATGATCAGCTAGGATAATAAGCTTCCCTACTTATACATAGAAATTACTTAAAAAATTTTTTTCAACGCTTATTTATTTTTGGGACAGAGAGAGACAGAGCATGAACGTGGGGGAGGGGCAGAGAGAGAGGGAGACACAGAATCGAAACAGGCTCCAGGCTCTGAGCCATCAGCCCAGGTGCAGAGCCTGATGCGGGCTCTCTAACTCCCGACCGTAGATCGCGACTCGAAGGGAAGTCGGATTTTGAATCGGCGCCACCCAGGCTGCCCCTCTCGAAATTTTTTTGAGAGAGAGAGAGAGAGAGAGAGAAAGCACCAGCAAGCAGGGGAGAGGGCAGAGGGAGAGCGGGAGAGTGAGAGAGAGAGAGCCAGAGAGCAAGAGAGAGAGAGAGAGAGAGAGAGAAAATCCCAAGGTACTCCACACTTCAGTATGAGGAGTTCTATCTAGGTTGGATTCTCACACTGCGTGATCATGACTCGAGTCAAAATAAGAGTTGGATGTCAACCGACTGACACCCAGGTGCTCCCCCATACCTGGTGATTCTCAAGTTTACGCTCACTATACAAATATTTTTCCATATCTATGATGTTAGCCATTTTGGTCATTAAACTAACCAGGAAAAAATGTCTATTACTATGTATTGTTATGTCTCAAAAGAACAGATTATCACCAAATATTAAAAAAGACACCGCGGAGAAAACTACATCTGCTGTTCTACTGGCTTAACAGCAGGTTATAGTAGTGTTCTTGGGTCGGGCTCAGTCAGTGGAGCATGCAACTCGACCATCTCAGGGTTGTAGGTTCAAGCCCCTGTGTCGGGGGTAGAAATTACCAAAAAAAAAAAAAAAAAAAAAAAAAACTACAAGAATCAATCAATCAAATAAAAGCAGGTTATACAAGAAACCTACACATGTAAATTGTTCTGGGATGGGTTTTCGTTGTAAGATAGTAAAAAAATCTTAAGTTATTGAAAAATTTTTCCTCGAGCCTTCATCCACACACTGAATATGTGTAGAAAAACCAATTATCTGTAACTTAATACCTAATTTAACAAAACAAGAACAGCCCAGTTAATTAGCCACTTGTATTACAGATACAAGGAGATGGTTCCTCAGGCCGCTCTCTTCTTTTCAAACATCGCAGAGTATCCATCCTCCACGTCAAGTCTTTCCCATTATTTCAAGATCTAGTTTCTTCGAGATTTGGCACTCCTCCAGTCGATGCTGATCTCCTTACCTCTTGTGGGAATTAATACGGTCTGTGTCAGACAAGACTTCTTGTATTGTTGCTTGTTTTTTTTAACTTCAAACTCATTTTCAGAAAACAAGACTAAGCTAACAAAGGAGGTGTTTTATCATATCCAGCATAACCTCGGAGATATTGCATTTGGCTCCAGACCACCGCGACCAAGTGCATATAAAGTTATGGCGTTCACACTACTGTACGGCGAAGTGTGCGCGAAAAGCATTATGTCTAAAAAAAACTATGTACATATCTTATAAAATACTTTATTGCTAAAAAACGTGCTTAACTATCACCTGAGCTTTTAGCAAACCGTACGCTCTTATGTCGGGGAGGTCTTGCCTCGGCGCGTTGATGGTTGGCATGACCGGGTTTGTTGGTGGAGGGTCGCTACGACAGGGTGGTTGTAGGTTTCTTTTAAAGATAACAGTGAAGTCGGCACGCCCACCCCTTTCACACACACCACTTTCTGGCACGCAATGCTGTCTTACACCGCTTTTACCCAGAGAACAACTCCCTTTCGGCCTGAGCCAAGGCCCTCTCAAACCCCGCCGCTTCAATGTTTACAACTAAATTCATGTGATACTCAAATCCTTCACTGTCCTTCAACCATCTTGCACAGCCTCTGGCCAGGAGAGCATGATTCCATCTCAAGAAACCACCTTTCTTCTTGTTCGCCTGTGTTAGGCGGGTTCTCACCAGAAAGCTGTGTCACGACTGCAACGACCGTCCCCGCCCAGGTTCCACTCCCCAGGACTCTGCTTCCCTCCTGTCGCTTCACTGCCTGCAGGCACTGAGGTCCTGAGCTCAATTTATAAAAAAAATGCAGCATTCGCGGCTGCCACCACATGAAGTTCTTCATCGGGATAACTGCTCAGCACGGGTTTACATCATTGTCAGGGCGCGCCGCGACAGGTCCTCACAGCTGAGGACACCTTAGCTCAGCTTGAACACTTAACAAAGCAGTGCTTTTTCCTTGTTGCCGCGACTCTGTTAATAAAGAAGACTGAAACCAACCACCGTTGGTCTTTTTCTTCCGCGTTGCACAAATCTGCTCTTGTCAGTACCTCAAAATAAATATTAAAGAACAGAGAAATTTAAGTTAATTAAAATGGGAAAATGAAAGTAAATATGCATCAAAGTGTTAACATAATAAAAAGCAATCACATTTATTTCACAAGGCCATGCTACCACTGAGCTATTACCCCTCGCCATGTCTATTTATTAATCAAGAGAAACAGAATAAACATTGGAGTATGATCTCCCTAAACTAGAAGTAACTAAAAACACTACTCCGTTAGGGACTGATTGGGATCAGGTGGCTCAGTCAGTTGCACCTCTAACTTCAACTCAGGTCATGACCTTGCAGCTTTGGCTCGGAAAGCCCCACATCGGGTTTCTTATGTCAGCAGAGCTGCTTCACACCCTCTGGCCCCTTCTCTCTGCCTCCCCCACTCAGCTCTTTTCTTCTCTCTTAAAATAATAAATAAAGATTTAAAATTAAAAAAGGATAGTAATTAATAATTACCGACATCAATAGTTTTTCAGTTGTCTATGAAAATGAGCATCTAGCTTTATGTTAATTCATTTGATTCTCACAGTAATCAGGTATTATCATCATCCCATTTCACAGATGAGGAAGGTGAAACACTGAGATGTTTTTAGAACCTGTCCAAATTTATGGGACAGTAAGTCAGAGAGGGATTTCAACCTGTGACAACCTGGCACTGGAGTACATTTAACCAAGAAATTAAACAAATCAGAAAAAGAATCTTAAAAGGGCAAGTTATAAACTTCTCTAATTTGACAATGACCCAGTCAAAGATGGACCAATTCATTAAAAAGCCGTGAGTAGGTTGGGGTGAGCTTATGAGGGGTTGGGGGGAGGGATGACGGCAGAAAGTTACCGAGGCTCTTAGGCAGTGAAAATACTTCCATGTGATACTATAATGATGGATATACATGTCCACATTATACCTTGTCCAAACTCATAATATGTGTTGCCAACACCAACAGTGGACCATAACGAACTAATGACTTGGGTGGTCAAGATGCAGACACTGCAGGGGTTCATCTCCACCGTAAGTAACAAATGTCCCACTCTTGGTGGGAGGAGATACTGATAATAAGAGAGGCTATGCATTTGTGGGGCAGAGGTATATGGAAGATCTCTACACCTTCTTCTTAATTTCCTTTTTAAATATTTATTTATATTTATAGAGAAAGCACATGCAAAACAGGCGAACAGAGAGAGAGGAGAGAGAGAGTCCCAAGTAGGTTCCACACTGTCAGCACACATCCTGCAACGTTGGGGCTTAAACTCATCATGTGAGATCATGACTTGGAGTCGTAAAACCAAGAGTTGTGTCATTTAACTGACTGAGCTGCCCTGGCATGCCCTGAGTGTTTATTACTTTGAGAGAGACAGAGAGAGAGAGAGAGAGAGAGAGAGAAAGAGAGAGAGAATATAAAATGAGGCAGAAAGAAAGGAGGGCAGAGAATCCGGGAAGTGGGCTCTGCACTGTCAGCAATGAGCCCAGTGTAGGGGCTTGAACTCACGGACTGTGAGATCATGACCGAGGTGAGCTGAAGTTGAAGTTGGGATTGATTTTAACTGACTGAGCCACCCAGGTACTTCTCTTCAATTTTTTGTTATAAACTAAAATGGTTCTTAAAAAATAAAGTCTTTTAAAAGAAGGAAGGTAAAGGAGAAAAAAAATGTGGGGCCCCTGGTGGCTCAGTTGGTTGGGCCAATGACTTAGGGCTCAGGTCATGATTCATGTTTTAGAGTTCGAAACTCGTCAAGCCGTGTTTCTGTGCTGACAGCTCGAGCCTGGAGCCTACTTAGGGATTCTATGTCTCCCCTCTCTCTACCCTCACCGCTCTCACGCCTTGTGTCTGTCTCAATAATAAATAAATGTTTAAAAATTTTTTTTAATTAAAAATTAAAAAGAAAATGTCTATGAACAACTTAGTCTCAAATTTGTTAGACATATACATACAAGCTTCGTGGCTACTTCCAGCATTCAATGCTAACCAGTTAATCTTGTGAGCACCAAGATAAAAGACCATTTGGCAAACATCGTAGTAAATAACTTCAGTCAAGACTCATCAAGGTGAAAATTTGGTGAGAACACAGTGTATTTTATAGTTGTCAAGTGTCTCTCTTATAAGACACTTCTAACGAATAACCCTGGCGATGGGGTAAGAATGCACGGAGAAAACAAAGCAGACACCATCAAGTGACCAAAGTTCAACATCACTGGTAAGTCACCGTGTGACTTCTGTTACGATGTGAAAAGGACACAAAGTGTCTTCTTCCGCGGATATTCCTGCCCCAAACGATAGTCTAAACCATATCATAAGAACACATTACACAAAACTCAAAATGAGGGGCCATCGACAAAATAACCTGTACATTTATGCACGCCAAGGGCATGAAAGACAAAGTAAGATTCAAAGTTTAATGCGTGACACCCATGCCAATGATGGTCTTAGACCCTAGACACTTACTTTCTCCTTCCAGGAAAGGGCCACCGGGTGAAATGTGAATAAGGTTCTGCAGATAGGTGACAGATGGTGACAGGATGGAATCAGGGTCATTTCCTGAGTTTACTATTGTGATATAAGAGACTGTCCATGCTTTTAGAAACATAATCAAAAATTTAGGGATAAAACAGCATCAAAACAACTTACTCCTTAAGTGGTACAGAAAAACTGTATACATACATAGGGAAAATACATAAAGCAAACAGTAAAATGCTAACTTTGGAAAATTCCAGATGAAGGGAGATGCTACTTAAAAAAAAAAAAAAAAAAAAAAAAAAGCCAAAGGAGTAAAACGACAGGTGATTTCTTTTCTGAAAGCAACTCCAAAATAAACCAAATTATTAGCAACTCCAGATACGATGCTCATTAATGACCCACGGTAAGGGGCAGAATTTCTGAGAATGTAATAATGAAGCATGAATTGTAATCTCATTGTTTTCTTATACTGATTCCACTGAACTGTACATTTTTATTGTTTTTTTAAATAAATTTTTACAAATTCTGAAGTTCAGTTAAACAAAGAGATAGCAAGGTTCAGGACCCAGAGACTCAGACCTGAAATGAGTCAACAGGGCCACAACCCCAGCCCTTCCCTTTTTCATTAAAATCACGTATTACCTAAGAGCCTAGATTTAAAACAGAGTAAGGCACCTGCTATTAGCATAAAAGATAGGTTTTCATTATTTTTTTTTACATCAAAGTAACTACATTAAAGATTTTGGCTGCCAATTTAGAAGCCTTAAAGCAAAAATAAAAAGACTTTTTAGAGAACCACCTACTTGTCCTCCATTGATGACCACATCAGGATCAATGACATTCCCAAGAGACTTGGACATCTTTTCTCCCTTTTCTCCAAGGGTAAAGCCATGAACAACCACTGTCCTAAGAAAACAAATCAGCTATTATGATAACACAATTCCAACAGTCTTTTTGAAGGTCACTTACAGTTTAAAAAGAGTTATCTTAGCTTGATCCAAAAACCAGGATTGTTCTTGACAGATTATGCATGAAAGCTTTTCTTGAAAGCCTAATTCTCAGCTGCTTATTTGTGATGAC